AGCCTAAAATCTCCGTAGCGTGTTGCCAGGCGGCAGAAAGCATATATATAATTATAATAAACTTACAATAAATTAAGTTAATATATAATTATATATACAGTAGCTAATTTATATATAATTAATATATAATTATATGTACAGTACCTAATTTATATATAATTTATATATAATACTAAACAGACGATAGCAAACTCAATTTAGCCGCTCCGTAGCGTGGCGCAGGGTCGGAGGAAAGTAGTTCGGCTGCTCATCCACTATTGGTCCAGACTCTCTCAATCTTGTCGCGAAACGACGTTATAGGAGGTATTTTATACGAAAGTTTCTACAATTTTTTTGCTACGTTATAGGAATTGTTGTTATAGGAACGTACGTTATAGGGGGGTCGACTGTATAATAGAAGTTGAGTTCTTCACGGTAAGCCTTAATTTTGTGCTCTCCCCTGCGAGGGAAATTTCAACATCTATATAATATACAAATTCGGACACGTGCACTGCATATCTTGCCAACCACGCAACTGCGCCGCACGGTTACCTATCTCGTATACGTATGCATCTTGCCCCTTGCCACCCGCTGACACCAAAAATATAACGCTTACCTAGATGATATCTTTTAATTTATATGAATGTTTAATGAAATAATATACAGCCTATGTCCAGCCTGAAGGTCCATTCTAAATATTGTTGAAAGAATTTTTGAAATCGGATGAGTAATTTTGAAGATTACCTCCTACATCCAAACTTACAAACTTTACCTCTTTATAATATTAGTATAGATAAATAGAATAAATATATATTCTAAATAATTTGCCTGAGGAAAATGGTAGTGCATCATTGAAAATACAGTAGAGTGTCGATTATCCGAATCAATTGGGGACTGGGGTTGTTCGGATAACTGATATTTCAGATAACCGATTATGTACGTATCCGATGTTGAGTTTAACATATCCAATGTTGAAATTTTTCTCCGTTGCGTGTTGCTTCACATTGAATTTTCGTCGATGTTAAGACTAACGAAGACTATTGTATCATTAAAAATTATTGTTTTACTTTGTACAAACAAAATAAATATATTGAAAAATATAAAAACAATAAAAAATTATACTTCAGAAGTTAATTTAGTATCAAAAACGTAAAATATTTGAGTAGCCCAAGATATAGCCAAAGATTGCAGTGCCACAGCACTAGCGAAAATGTAAATTTGCCGACTGGAATTCTTTCGGATAATTGACGTTTCGGATAGTTGACTTTCGGATAATCGACGCTCTACTGTACTTGTTTTTATGTATTTTGTGTTAAATAAATGGAATTTTCAATGCTAAAAGACAGGTATTCATTGTTTATTTTCCCCTCCAAGCCAATTCTGTATCTTTGCTGTACTTGTAAAATTATACTTGTAAAATTTTGTTATATAATATCTGTTTTATTATAGTATCTTGTTAAACTTTATTATTTTTATCAAATATTTTTTGTTTGTTTTATTTTTCATTACTGTTGTTCATAAATTTATGTATGTATATATAAATATATATATTTAGCATTATGATATATATATATATATATGTACACACACACATAAATTTATCAATAAATTTTATATTTATATAATAATGCTAATACTTTAGCATATTCTAAAAGTGTTTAAATTGAAATACAGTAGACTCCTGCTAATCCAACCTCAATTATCCAGTATATACTCCAGTGTGCACTTCCATTTCCATGAAAATGCTAGTCATGTTACTAGCTTACTCAGGATTTATTTCTGTCAATGTACCATGTTATTTGCCAATCTGCCTCCAAAATGAATCTATACTGAAAACTGATAGGTCATGTCATTCATTGCTGTTAGGTCTACACATTCTTGTTAATCTTGCACTCTTCTATGCAATCAATGGTCAAATTAGCAAGAGCATACTGTATCAGTAATGAATAATAAGATTTAAATATTTCTATATTTAATAAAATTATTTTGTTGTATTTGTTTCTGTTTAATGTATTATATTTTTGTAATAAAGAAATATACTATTTACTTTCAGGAAAGTTCTGAGGAAATGACTTCTCTAGATAATGATTCATTTCTCAACAGTCTAGAGTCGATGACATTTCAAAATTATTGGGCAGATAATACAAAAAATACGAAGGTGTGATGATTGGTTGACTGATTTCTTTAAATGTAAAGAAACCTCGAGATATTTTACTTTTAATTTATATTGGCAACTACAATATGTTCCTATATTTGCAAGACATAAAATTTATCACTATGAATTTTTGTTTTCTCACATAGTCTATTGTTTCTCAACTGCTTTAAAATCATTAAAAATTTCATATTTTTAGCTAAAATAATAATAATAAATAGCATTATTATTATTTATGTCATGATATTTTGATTATTTTTTACAATTAAAAAGTATTATTTTCAATACATTTATAGAAATAATATTTTTTTCTGAAACAAAACTAGTTTTAAGAAAATTTCATATTCATGAAAAAATTCATTTGTAGTATTTATTTACTTATAGTTTATAAAAAAAAGTATTAATTATTATAATTTTATGTAATTATATAAAATTATATATACATGTTTAGTTATGAATTGAGTCAATTTAGTATTTCAAACTATATTTAAGAGTCAACTTTAACTTGAAACTTCATTAATGTGTAATGTTTAAGTATAATTTAAATGACTGCTTGTAACTCTTCATGGACAAATACCCTCAAACAGTTTTAAATATATATATGTATAAAAAAAAACTTTAATTAATTAAAAGTTATTTATTGCAATTTTTAATATCATATTTAGTATTATCAAAATTTCATTATATGCAATTGTGCAAGAAAATAGTACAAAACATATCAATTTTTATTGGTAATTATTTTATTATTCAACATGATAACAAATTAAAGATTTTGAATATATTGTTTTCATAAAAATTTTATAAATATGAAATTTGTATCAAATTGTTTAGCTGTACAGATAACCCTTTTAATTTTTTTTTAATTTTTGTTAATGTATTAAATAATAGTATCCACAAGTTTCAAATAATATATTTTTGTAATGTAAATTCTTTCATATTTTTTAAATATACAAGTAAAATTCCTTACTGTAAATATGTATAGTAAATAAATATCAATATATGTGAAGAATTTACAGTTAGATATGTGACTTATTTTCTTAAGTTTGATGCTCTCTAAAATGTTTATTAAAGTAATTGGTATCAGTACTTTTTGACTCAATAAAATTGTTTAAAAATTTTCTAATAGAATTCTTAAAAATAAAATGCTTAGAAGTATTATTAAGAAATCCAGGCATGTATATATTTATGTAATTTTTGAATTTTGTGTACTACATTTAAATTTTTATTAAAAAAGTTTAAAATTTTCTTACTATAATTTAATTCAAATATGTATGTTATACATTTATATACAGAAATTTTTTGCAAATTTAATTAGTCTTGAGATCACAACAATGAGGAAAATAATTCATTTCTGTTGCATGATAGAATTTTGAATATTATGCATTTTGAATTTCTGAAATAATTTTTAAATTATTAGATTAGATTTAAAATAATTATTTGTTCCGTCTGTGTCAGTATTTTTTAATCTCTATAGACAACTTATAAAATATTGTAAGTAATTGTACAAAATATTCTAAATTAATATTTATATTTAAGCAGTGGCATTAGAATTGCATTAGATCTTCCAAATTATATTTTATTTTAAAAAGGGTTATAATTGATTTAAGAATAACATAAGTAAAATTGCATATAGTTTCATAATTACATACATATTTAACAAGTAGTGGCAGGGCGAAAATCTTTTCATCAATTTGTGCAATTATCAAATTAATGTTATCTTATTTTAATGCTATAACTTTTTTAAAATTTTGATTTATAAAAATTCATTACAATAGTATCTCTGTAATCCAAAATGTGTTGGACTGACAGGTGACCAATTACAATAGATTTTTGAATTACCAGATTTTGTATGTATGTACCTTCTGTACGGTAAAAAAAACACGTGATTCACAGGTTGGTTTATCATATTAATCATGATTATGACTGTTTTGCTGACCACACATGTAAAAACAACCAACAACTGATAATATATATGTACTGTACAGTACATCAGTTTCTCTGTGACTATATCAACAAGTGATAATATGAAAATTTTATATGAGTTGCCCTGTAGTGTCAGATTATATATATAGAGAGATTCTACTGTGTTTTAATTACGAAAAATATTAGTTGTAGTTATATATGTTCAGTATTCATAATATTGTTATATGAAGCACTGAAAACACATACTATATTATTGTATA